TTAGCAAATGGCTGCAATATAACAAAGAGTGAAAAATTTAAGGGGGTCTGAATACTTTCCGTACCCACTGTATATAAATGTAGATATCATGAAATAAAATGTATCTTCTGTCAGGGATTCTGTTCCTCGAGAGTATATCCGCTTTGCGATTTAGGAGATTTAGGAGAGTGCACGTCGCCTTTGTGATTTATGTACAAAACCACAGACATGTTGTCAGAGCGAATCAGCACATGTCAAGCCCGTAGGGCTAAGGACACCGCCTTCGGTTCCAAGTGGTTTATGTGCCAACTGCTCTGAGACTCTGACAACAGGCCTGAAGTCGGCATGCCCTTGCACACTGCTCCCCAGCCTGAAGTTGACGCATCTGTCGTAAAACTGTTTAACGATCGTACTCCACAATTCAGTACTACATACTGTAGTTCACAGTCTTTGTAACATGTTTTCAGCAATACATTTCTAACATTTAGAATGTGTTTAGAAACAATTCTCTGAATTGCCTGAACACGGACTTTAATAGTTATAAAGTATGCTCCATATTCTATATGCAAGTATGCAATTTCTTGTTTATTTTATTTTGGGGTGATATGTACATTTCATACAATCCCATTCAATATAAATTAGTTTGAGTTAAAAATAAAACAGGGTTAAGAACAAATTCATGTGCGTACGCACCTGTTGTGAATCTTTGTGTGAGTGCGAATGATGCACACATTTATGAGTGAATTATTTTTTTCTTTATTTTCCATGCTGGTGCATCAGCATCATATCAGGAAGGGTCTCCCTGCCCTCACCGTGGAGATTTGATGTGAGTGAAGAAGATCCTTCTCTCATTCTGGAACACAAAGCAATCAACGGCTTCTTAAAGAATCCCTGGTGCTCTCTAAGATACACTTAACCCCGAGATATCTTTGTTTTCACCATAAGGAATCAACACAACATGAGAGTGGGCTGTGAAATATGAAGTAATGTCTGGCAGAATCTTAAAATAGCTGGTCTGTGGAAGGCTGCTGGGGTTGAGGAGGGATTTCTCCTCATGTGGGAGTTTCTCTGCAGCATTTCCTCTGTGTACACCTCCGGCTGGATCTTCTGCAGCAGAGACACTCAAGTGATTAAAATATGTTGCAGACACCAATGTGAAGGGAATGGCTATAGGCTTCTTCTGACGCAATGTTTATTCTCAGAGTAAACATCTGCAGAAATGCCCATGGTGTTACATTCTGGGGGAGTCTGAAGGCTTTTGAAAAGGCTAAACAGGAATACAGAGATGGAAGAGAGAATTTTGAATTGTACACATGGGTGTAAGTTTATATAATCTAAATTGGTGTGCTGTGGATTGCATCAAAATATTATTTTTGTAGGTCTACTTAAACAGACATGAGCTAAATTATCTTGCATCTAACACCATGCATTGAATTTGTATGATGACACGAAGAAAAAATAATTTAGCTTCATAAATTACATAGATACTGATACAAATTGAAGAATAGTAGCCTACACAATATCAGAAGTGCATTGTGAGTTTCTGCTTATGTACTGCGAGCGGTTAATGGAAAAACAGGAGTGGATCTAGTGACAAAACGCTTTGAAGGAAGGAATATTCCAGGTTCGGATTCCACTCACAACCATCAGCCTACTGTAAACAGTTAGCCTAGAGGTGATAACAAAAAAAGCCATTTGGAAATTCTACTATAATTTAGAACCAGCAGTAGAATGTCAGATACAAGGTGCAATAAATAATTACTTATTATTAATGAGCATAATAAACCATTCTTCATCAATATAGGCTAGTTAATTACGCATAGCTAAATTATATTTACAGTTGCCAATTAGCTTAGCAACGTTTTTCCCTATTACTTTTTTTTTATTATTATTTATACTGTTTAAATAAAATTGTATTTGTATTTACAGAATGTTTTTATTTATTTATATAAAGTTGTACAGCAGTATTACCTAATTGCAACCAAAATACAACTCTGTGAAAAGTTGTAAAAACGTTTTGTGTTTGATGTCTATTCAGAGCTCATCAAATTAGAAAGTCTCGGTTTTATAATTCAGAATCGGCTTCGTGTGAATTAAATTATGTCAAAATTGGCGTTTTCAAATCCTAGTAAATAGTGTCACACAAATATAATTCTGGTGATAGTTTATTGAGTCAGGCTGCTATGAAGCGGCGCTAATGATGAGAGGACAGAGACGCAGCTCTCGTCATTACTGTTGGAATAAAAGAGGACAGTAATATTTCAGACAGAATAAGGGAGGAGATTTGCCGTCGGCTCTCCTATTGGCTTAGTGCAACCGTGATGACATTGAGGAGACGGCTTTATACTGTATAAAGCTCCCTGAGAGTGAGGAAACCACTGTGAACTCCTTACAGCTGAAGTGCGCCAAGGAAAACCCGTGAGATAACACTGAACCATGAGTGAGGTAAGTGCACCTCTAGGTTTACCGTATCCAGATGAGATTTAACGCAGATCTTTGCAACAGATGTTGATTATATAATATGCATAATAGCTTTCGGCATCTTAATTTCTTTTGGGTGCTGCAGTGTGTTGCTGTGAGTCCTCGCTTAGAGTGTTTGATTCACTTTAGCCTTCTGTACCCACGAATCTTTTCGAATCTGTTCGATGTTTACGTAAAATAACCAGTGTTGGGGAAAGTTACTTTTAAAAGTAATGCACAACAATATTGCGTTACTTCCCAAAAAAAGTAACTAATTACGTTACTTCGTTACTTTTGTATGTAAAGTAATGCGTTACGTTACTTTTGCGTTACTTTTTAAATCTGGGCTGGGCTTGCTTGTTTGCTTTTAATATAAAAAGTTCTATTTTTGGCAAATGTAAAAGCCCTATATTTATCTATCATCATAAATATAGAGAAACTGGGGCTATAGATCTCTTACTTTTGTTTTGGAATCTCCATTTCTGTATAAACATAATTATAAGCTTTAGCTATATAAAGGCATTGAATATTTCCACCCTTATTGCCCTGGAGAAAGTGATACAGTTCATTAAACACACAGTGACCTTTTGCAACACCATCACTCAGTAGCAGGGCAAGTTATAGCAATTGGAACATTCCCTTAAATGGCATATTTTATAGGCTTTTTATAGGCAGTTCAGTAAAATCTGGACAATAACCTAAATAATGAAGCACAAAATAATTAATCAGCAGCAAAAATGGAACATGCAAAAACATCAAAACATTTTTTTGACCAACAGATGTCACAATTAATCAAGTGATTAATTCATAAAATCACAACTTTAACAAACATGTGACAAGTTGCCCCGATGTGCCATTTATAAAAATACCCTGAGAACACAACTCAACCTTTTGTTAAAAATTAATGTATGCCAGTGTGGTTTTTAACACTGTAAATGTTTTTTTTTTTTTTAAATAAAAATATTTTGCTGTTTTAGTTGCATTTTTTAATGTTTACATTTGAAACTATAGCCTTCGTGAACTAATAGCCTATTAGCAGCTTTAATTTGATGATTAAATACATTCTCTTTCCACATATTGCAGTCTACCTCAATTTGCGGATTGCTGGTCTGTTCTGTGTTGCAGACAGCATGGAAAAAATAAAGCTAAAAGCAAGTAATAAAATCGTCCATATGTTGGGATAAAAATAATTGCTACACAGAATACATAGCTTTTATTTCATGTATATGCATTTCAGTTGGCAAACGCTGATCTGTTTCATTAGGACATCTCATCCATTTCAGAATACCTGCTGGACATGAGCAGTGTCCAGTTACGTTTTTCTGGACTTTTGCCTTTGGTTATTGAGATTTGTATGCATCAAGAGGGCTGAAAGCATGTAGTTTGCATGCTTGTTGTGTTGAGTACAGCATAATCTCAGTGATTCTCTCTCAGTAAATAGTTAATACATTTCTAGAGAGGAAGTGCTAATTAACTTCAAAGCCATCTACTGTAGAAGTGGTGCAGTTGTGACATCTTTCTCCAGCAACATGAGCTAGGTGTGTGCGTTTTCTTGATGTTATTTTCTGTGACCTGCAATGCTTTTAAACATGATTTAACATAGGCCAAATTTAACATAGAGAGGGATGCTAATTATGAGAGAGGAAATTAGCATAAACTCAACCCTGATTTAAGCAGTCAGGTCATTACGATGCGTTCAGATGCTTCAAAGTATTAGAGTGTTTAATATCTAAAGAAAAAGCCCAATTACTATGAGAGCTGTGATCAAGCACCATATGTCACATCTTCTCATTAGCTTTCATTCTGCCTTTTCTTGTAGAAAATTTAGTAGCAGAAAGATTGTTTATTTATTTTCCAAATATTTTTTGTAATAATGTTTCTCTCAGACACTGTACGGAGCGCCTCTGCCTCTAAAAGGAAGATAAAAACATGATCTTTTTACTCTCTCAATAGAACATTATAAAACATTATTAACAGTTTAATAACAGTTGAAAGGAGGAAAATATAATATTACCTATAAACATACAGCTTTTTAGGCATTGTTTTAATTTACTGTATTGTGGCCTTTCTAAAACAACTACATAATACTTAACAATAGTTAACAGATGGATTTAATACAGGTAATGTTAATATAATAAAAACCATAACAATGACAGCAATGTGACAATATGAAAACCTGTAATAGACATAATGGTAATGCACAGTTTTGGAATTGAAAAAGAACAAATAATCTTATAATTTACTGTAAAAAAATAAAACAATAATAATAGTAATGATAATAATATAAATAAATTGACATTCCCAGAATTCCCCGTGTGACACTTTACATTTTTTAATTAAGTACAGTTTTGTTAAAGTAGATTAGGGTTTTATGTTACATTTTATGTTGTTAAATAATATTAATTGCATTATTTTATTGTCATGTGTGTTATGATGCTTCCAATGTTGCTACAATATTTTTTTTACAGTTAAATTTTGGCTACCACATTTACTGTTTTTTCCCCATAATTACTTTTTTTTTAAATAATGTATATAATTTTTGATACTATGTCAATTATGTCAGTTTATCAGCACGCATACATAAGTTAGTTTTAATAAACTGGAATAAAATGGAAATCATAGGGCCCTGTGAATATAGTCATCACATGAGCAGAGCAGGAGAGCACAGATTGTGGATAGATCAAGAGCCACACAGCACATTTAATCTGATTTTGACAACTCTTGAAAAACTGCCCACATTACTCATTTCAAAATGGTCTCCTCGTTTCTCATCTAATTCATCTCTGACCTCTCCACACGTCAATTCTCTCACACTGGATTGCTTTATGACACTCAAAAGGCCTACTACATTTCTCGAAGAAGCACAACGGGATGTCAGAAATCTGATTTCTGATTTCCGAGTTCTACTGCAGGTTTGAAAAGACACCCCACACCCGCCCTGAACACCTAATTCCTCGTATGTGTAAACATACCTGGCAATAAAGCTCATTCTGATTCTGATTCTGATTCTGATTGGACATGTGCTGCCATGAGCAAGAATGTGCCGCTGCATCCAATCTCCCCGCATTTGCCACCAACTGTCTTTGTTCCTTGCAACTGTCTGATGTGTTCTCATTCTGCCTGTCTTTAGTGAATATGGAAGCCGGCTTTCATAATACACTTGACAAGCATTTGTGCACTTCACAACAATTGTGATGTTTACTAATGTTTGACTAATGGTACTAAAAGGAGATGAAATAATAGCTAGTTGTGAAGAATAAGATATAAAATATCTTAGCTTAAATCTAATAGTTATTATCGTATACCTGTACAGTATAAAATAAAATCTAAATGTTTATATTTATATTTATATAAAGGAATTATTTGACTGAGATGTGACTTGTTTGAATAAAAGAATGAGAATAATAATAGTATGAAACATGAGAATGATAATAAACATAAAAATACAATAAAAAAACAAAAACTGTGTTAAAAACAAATGGAACTGGAACATGAATGACATAAGACTAAAAAAAAAAAGACTAACACAGACAGGAGACTTTTCTTTCTTGTTTCAGAAGTTCACCTCATGTCACTCTAGTGAAGGATTTACTTTTTTGCCAATTACAAGTTAAGAAATCACTGTTATTCCATTTATTTCCTCTTTTCGTAAATCTCCAAAGCATAAGCTGTTTCTTTGAACAGTTGCAAATGAAGTAGTCCAACTGCCAGGCAAAGCCACAGAAAATTTTTAGTTTGGCCGAAGGCATCAACACATCAGCATATTAAGAAGCTTAAGCAAACTGTTTTGTTATCCAAGCTGGATTATGTGAACTTTGCAGTATCCTTCTTATAGCTCTGCATGTTTGGTGGTGCTTGTGAAGGCAATCGTCACTATAGCTATTGCCCATACTGAGGGTTAGGGATTCGTGCAAACCCTTAACCCCAAGTATTAAAATTCCTGGAACATCTGTACTATGAATGATGCTTCAAATCATGTGGCTTGTTGAGGAAATATGTGCTATGACTTTATTGTAACCACATAGCAACATACTAATAACCACTCGGAAAACCTTAGCGACCGAATATAGCAGCACCCTACAAGCAAATTAGTGGTCGACCGATATATCGGCCGATATTTGGCATTTTTCAAATATCGGCATCGGTCGATAAGTTTTTCTGTTTGGTCGATGCGTTCGAAACTTTATTTTGACGGCGCGACGGACTTTTATTTTGACGGCGCCGAGAACGGCAGCGCCTGAGCATACAGTGCTCACATTAATTTCTCCCTCTTGTTTGCTGTCGTCGTTAACAGTTCTGTCTAATACGGATAAAAGTGTGTCTAATAATCTGATAGAAATGTTAAACAAAGGAATTCAGTGCCCTGTTGGTTACAGTGTTTACTTCCTTTTTAATTATATTTTTATTAAATATTTATTTATTTGTGAAAAATACTCTAAAATATAAGTATGTTTATTTTATACATTTATTTTTTAATCCATTTTCAAATGATTTCAAATTTCTTGAATATTAATTAAAATAAATACAATTATATCGGCTTATATCGGCCACCCTGCTTTTCAAGATATCGGCATCGGCTGTCAAAACACATATCAGTCGACCACTAAAGCAAATGTAAAACAAAAGGTTTCTTGAACTCAATGTGCATTTTCAGCTTGAATATGATTTTAAGTTAAAGTGCAAAATGTCACTGTAATAGCTGCATAACCAAATGAATGCCTAAAGAACAAGGACCAAAGCATATTTACAGATCTGGTTCTATAATATTTGCTATGCTTATTAGATGCTGCTTTGTTCCATATTACAGCATGGTGAAAGGAAGTACATAAAAAAAACTATGAATATTTGAATGGTCATTTACTTCAATAAATGGGTCATAAATCACATTCACAATCTACAGAGTGCATTACAGATTGACAGACTAAGTATTGTAATGCGAATAAATTGTCCCTGTAATGTGTTAGTTTTGGTTTGACTACTGAGGC